CATTGCTACAACTGAGACATTATATCACGAGGTTCGGAGTATTCTTAACGCTTGCCGTCTGTATACTTGGTAACGTGATGAGCGGTTTCACACTCCTAGTCCAAGTAGATACGATAGGGAACATAGTAATCTTGGTCTTTTTGCTCCCTCCCCATATCTAAATGAGAGCTTACAATGCATCTCCTGTCAATAGGTCATCGACTCATGTATCCCATGTGTGTTCCAGCATACAACGTGTCTAGTTATTTATTGACTGAATCTTAATAACTAAAATTTATCTAATTCTTTCACATATAAGTATTTCTTATTTTTGATAAATATCAACTATAATAATAAAAAGTTGAGTTGCAATAGAATGGGTTTATTAGTGACCAGTCTCCTTATTTATAAGTACAATGCTTAAGCTAAAGAAAGTTTAAGGATTATTTTATATACACATGCATAAATATCTCTATATTGGAAATCCCATGATTTATGTCACTAACTAACTACATACAAAAGATGATCAAAATATGGAGAGAAAACAAAAAAAAAAACACAATCTCCGAAGCTCTTTCCTTCTGTCAAAGCGTACCCACTTTATTTCATGTGGTTTTTAACCCACTCCCTAACCAATCAACTTTCATTAATGTCGTCCATTTTATTCATTTCACCCCCTTTTGCTCTTTTTTTTTTTTTTTTTGGTTATAATTTGTTCAGTTTTATTCGTCAGGCACGATCCTCCCTTCCCATTTCCTACACACACACATTAATATACAATATGGTGAAAGTGAAAAAAACACTCACAAGAAGTTGATTTTATTTACAATGTGTACACAAACTAAGTCTTTGACAACATTATTATTACACAGTGAAACACGAAGATATATATTGGTTTAAGAACAAATAATTTATATACAAACAAACTAGGGACCACATTATTGGTTCCCATATACGTACACGTACTTAATTAGATATTAACATCATGTTGATAAAACTATTAATAATTTGCTATCACCTTAAATAAAGGCAGATACTCTCTATCTTGTACCCTTGTACTAGGCCATAAAGCCACTTTTAACTTTCAACCAAACACATGCACGTTTGTAACACCATGATTTTAATTAACTAAGTTCGACAAAACTGTGATTTAAAAAATATTAACTCGAGTAACAGCTTTATTTATTTGTTTCCATTATTTTCATCTATCCATGCGAAATATATGTGTAAAACTAATTATATGCATGGCTTTCATTATTTTCATTGGATGCGGGGAAACAGAATGGTGTCGAGGAAATATTTTTTTTTCTATTTTCAGTTTTTCATCACGGTGCTCATTTTTTTCATGTAATTCTGAGGATAATAGCATGACCATCTCTTTTTTTTTTTTGATAGAAGGCTTGCAGCATGACCATCTCTTTTGATCAAGATTCAAGAGTACTCAAGATGAGAACCATGTAGAAAACAAAGACTAATTTAATTTAATATAATCATTTTCTCATTAGCATATATCAGATTTAGAAAGCAAATGTCATTTATTTCAATAAGATTTGAGGAAGAAAAACTAATTTTGAAAACGTTAGAAAGAAGAAAAAAACACAGGAGATGATATTAAAAGTTAATAATGGTCAAAGGTATTAATTAAATGACTGTCGGTGTCTCCCGCCGACGCCACAAGCTTCCGTATATTATTACTATTAGCACAACAGAAACTGTGAAAGTGTGTGAGAGTACGGAATTTTTTTCTGTTTAGAATATAGAAATTCCAAAAACGTCCTTTGTCAACATTGAATATTAGTACACATCTGCATCCTTTAGTGCACCTGCTCACACCTGATTTTCGGTGGAGGGAACATCCGCGTGGCATGTTGGGATAATCTGTGTATGATGAACCAAATTCTTTAAAATGATAGAGGAAAGAGAATTTGTAATAGATGATAACCACGAAGGTTTAAATATTTCTAGTTAGTTGGATATTTAAAGAGGAGGGACGAATACCACCATTTATAAAAAAAAAAGACTACTCAGTCCGAAGAATTATAATTATATTTATAGGAGTAAAACCACGAATTGTCAACATTTTCAAGAATGATAATCAATGTTTTCTTTTTTAGAAATTATGTATTGTGTACAAATAGAGTATACAATTTTGTCATTTTTCCTATATAATGACGGCTTTAATCTATGATAACTTACCTTTTTTCTCCTCCATACCAAAAACTAATGTTATGATAGTTCTTGGTAATTATTTATTATAGCTACTGAATACTTGATCGATCGGAAAATGATTCGTGGGTCTCTCCAACAATCCAATCAAGACTTTGTATGGAAATAATTTAAACCGCATTTATAAAGTTTTCCAAATGTCGTAAAGCTAAAAGATGTACGATAGTTCATTTCCCACTGAATACTGATATTGGGAGGTAAAGGAAATATAGTACGAATTTTCTACTCTTTGATTTGGATAAATGTAGTCATTAGTCAAGCAACTTACCAAAGTATTTGACTCGTGAATACAAAGCAGAAATTAAGAGTCTTACGCTATGTAGACGTTACGTACATGTTAATCTGTTAGGCACCGATTTTGAACCATATAAGATTACAGCACACATCAGCCATTAGATTCTGCTTAATCTCGAATCAATTCTATGGTTTATAGACAATTATCTGAAGTTTTGAGGATTCCGTTTCTCTATATATTGAAAAACCATTCTTACGTAGACGTTATTTACATGCACTCATTGAACTCCATAATTTGGCCTAGTTTTCTAGAATGTTCATAAACAACATAACAGAACATTCCAAAACAAAACACTAATTAGCAAAACAAAAATAAAATTTCCAGATTATAATGTGTTTCTTGTCTTAGCAAAAAAAAAAAAAAAATGTGTTTCTTTCATCTAATTCTAACACTATTTTTCTGAACTGAAAACCTATTATTATAAATATCTATATCAAATTTTAAAATCGAATTTAATAAGATAAACTCTTTAAATCCATCATATGGCTAGCTATCTTCACGAATAGTAAGTTTCAGTTACGTTATAGACACTAAAACAATATGAATATTATTTTAATTTAGAATTATCAATTTAGGCTGCTGCGCTTATCCAAAGTTTCACGTTTAATGTGTTTAAATACAAATTTAGAAAAGAAAAGAAAAAAAAAAAGAAGAAGGAGCTGAAATATCCAAAAAACTGCGTTCACACCCAACAAAATGTTCAAATCTACTCATTTAATTTAAATGGATGATGAACAAAACAATTAAAAAAAAAAAACAGTTCAAAATAAACAACGTGAAGGCACCAAACTAGTACAAGAGCAACAATCCCGTACACGTGTCAACCTATCAAGTTTGGAGTCCAGCTGTCTGGTCACCCCCCCAATATACACACACCTCTAAAAACTTCTTCTGGCCGAGATAACATTGATTTAGCCAAAATGAATTACCAATGAACGCCGTTTTTGAGAGATGGTTTTCAATTGTTTGGTTAGCTTAGGCCTTAGGGTATTAAAAAGGTTTAAAGTTGGTTGCCGGTGATTGGTGGGACAACCCGTACGTGATTACTGCGGATTAACAGGATATTGCCGGTTTGTTGTGCTGGTCAACCGGATTATACCCCGTTATAAAATCCGTGCCCCTATCGCCTTCCCTGTTGTTATGGACGGACACTTATTTAATTATCATATGAGTTATTACTTCTATTCTCCATGATTTTAATCACTGATTTGAGTAATTTAGATTATGTAGTTTGGATGAATGATTTGAGTATTTTAGACTGAGTATTGCATCAAACATTATCGTAGAATTCAAATTTCAAAACCTATGTATTTATCTCAATTATACATTCACATATAAGTTAATTAACCAGTATCATCTGACCAAAATGTCTCGGATAGTCTGTTGTCATACTTATTCCAAATACACTGCAATTATAATGGATACTTGATGAATAACAATTGAACAAGTGAGATTTTTTTTTCATTTGTCAAGTGATTTACTGATTTTTCTTAACAACATTGCAAACAAAGTGGTGGTTCATTACAAAATCAGCTCAATTATATGCTTAAGTCAGCTCAATTATATGCTAAGTCTTAATCTTCATAGCAATTATAGTCACATGGAATTATCTATTAAAGTATAACGTATATATTTTGAAGAAAGGAATTAAAAAAATCAAGAAAATGCAAGAAAGGGTATGAATTATATAGTTAGGGCATATGCAAGGGTGTATCTTTGAAGTTTGATCTTAAAGGAGAAAAAATATTAAAATATTGTAAGAGCTTTAATTAAGATATTTTGTAAAGTCAGTGATTATTGGTAGAACATGTTTAGATCATATGAATTGATTTGAAATTGAAATAATGTAGGATCATTAGTTTACAATTTTAAAAACTTTAAGAAATAACTTTTAAATTGCAAACTTAAAAAACTTATACTAAAATAGATTTGAAAATAAAAAGAAACACAAAATATAATATCAAATTTTTATGAAACAAAAAAAACATTAAAGATATAAATAAAAAAAACAAACAAACAAACATATTATTTAATTAAACCCTAGCATAGATTTCGGATCGAAGGAAAAATGAAATGTTTTTTTCCTTTGCAAAAATTCGTAGCCAATAATGAAGCGCCAAGTCACGCTAAAACTGGGCCAAGAACAATTCTACAACAAAAACAGATCTACAACAGATTTAACACTATTCACAATATTTTCTATTTTTAAAAGGCTAAGAACACCTAAGTGTTCTCCCTTTAAATATCGCCTTATAGAAGTCATTATTATTATAGTAGACCTTCGTTATCCATCCGGTACATGTTTTGACCAATACGGAAAGAGAAATAAGAGTCGCATTCCTCCTTTTGTTATGGAAATTAAATTATAAATAATAAGTGCAATTAAAAGCACGAATAGTAAACGTTCACTTAATTAACTGATTAGCAAATGACGATTATACCCTTCATCTCCCTCAGTTGTCTACTTTCACCTTCCTTCCTTTCATTCTCCTCTATATATATCGACCATTCTCTTTCTTTCTTCCTCACACACTAAAAGCTTGCAAAAACCATAAGCTTATCTCTCTCACAAATCATTTTTTTCAAACTTCTCTCTCTCTTAAACCATGCCTGAGGCACCAAAGAAGGTATCTTTAGAGGTTTTTGATCTGACGCTTGACCAAAAAAACAAGCAAAAGCTTCAGTTGATCGAAGAACTTACCTCTAACGCCGACCAATTCCAGAGACGTGTCTTGGAGGAGATCTTGTCCCGCAATGCTGACGTGGAGTATCTCCGGCGACACTACCTCAACGGTCGCACTGACCGTGAGACTTTCAAAAACGTCATGCCGGTTATCACCTACGAAGATATTCAGCCTGAGATCAACAGGATCGCTAATGGTGATAAATCACCTATCCTCTCTTCAAAACCCATCTCTGAGTTTCTCACAAGGTAACACTCTCTCTTCTTCTTCTCGATACTCTGTTTTTGTTTGTGTTGTTTTGCTCGATGCTCTGTTTTTCTCTTACCAATGATTCTTTCAAAAATATTCTTCATAGTTATTGGGTGCTCATTAGTTTGAGATTAAGATTAGAAGATCCATAAGTTGTTTTTGGGCGATGAGTACTCTAGAAAAGTTTATTTTTTTTCTTCTGAGTACCTAAAAGATTGAAACTTCTCACAACATTTTTCATGAAATTTCTCAAAACTTAGGAGGCTAACAACGCTCTATGTATATTTTATTTTGACAGCTCTGGAACATCTGGTGGGGAGAGGAAGCTAATGCCAACAATCGAAGAGGAACTAGACAGAAGATCTCTTCTCTATAGTCTCTTGATGCCTGTGATGAGCCAGTTTGTTCCTGGTCTCGAAAACGGCAAAGGAATGTATTTCTTGTTCATCAAGTCCGAATCCAAGACTCCTGGAGGCCTCCCTGCTCGTCCTGTCTTAACCAGCTACTACAAGTCTTCCCATTTCAAAGAAAGACCCTATGATCCTTACACCAATTACACAAGCCCTAACGAGACCATCCTTTGCTCTGACTCTTACCAGAGCATGTATTCTCAGATGCTCTGTGGCTTATGTCAACACCAGGAGGTTCTTCGAGTCGGCGCTGTCTTCGCCTCTGGATTCATCAGAGCCATCAAGTTTCTAGAGAAACACTGGACAGAGTTGGTCCGTGACATCAGAACCGGTACTCTGAGTTCCCTCATAACTGATCCTTCCGTTCGCGAGGCGGTCTCCAAGATCCTTAAACCGAATTCAAAGCTCGCTGAGTTTGTGGAATTTGAGTGCAAGAAGTCGTCCTGGCAAGGGATTATTACTAGGCTGTGGCCTAACACAAAGTATGTGGATGTGATTGTGACCGGGACAATGTCTCAATACATTCCAACTTTGGACTACTACAGTAATGGCTTGCCTCTTGTCTGCACAATGTATGCTTCTTCCGAGTGTTACTTTGGTGTGAATCTAAGGCCACTCTGCAAACCAAGCGAGGTCTCTTACACGCTCATACCATCCATGGCTTATTTCGAGTTCTTGCCTGTTCACAGAAACAACGGTGTTACTAACTCCATCAACCTTCCTAAAGCACTCACTGAGAAAGAGCAACAAGAGCTTGTTGATCTAGTTGATGTCAAGCTTGGTCAGGAATACGAGCTTGTTGTCACCACTTACGCTGGTAAGAAAACAAAAATTCTAGATTGATTTATAGTCAAAATATTTTGAAAGTTTAAGGGTCTGTTCTAATGTTTTGTGATTTTGTTGCAGGGCTTTGCAGATACAGAGTTGGTGATTTATTGAGAGTGACAGGATTCAAGAACAAAGCGCCTCAATTCAGTTTCATATGTCGCAAGAATGTGGTCTTGAGCATAGATGCCGACAAGACCGATGAGGTTGAACTTCAGAACGCGGTGAAGAACGCAGTGACATACCTCGTCCCATTTGATGCCTCACTCTCTGAGTACACGAGCTATGCAGACACAAGTTCTATCCCGGGGCATTATGTTCTGTTCTGGGAGCTATGTTTGGATGGAAACACGCCGATCCCTCCTTCAGTCTTTGAGGATTGCTGCTTAACTGTAGAAGAGTCGTTCAACACTGTTTATAGACAAGGAAGGGTTAGTGACAAGTCCATAGGCCCGCTTGAGATCAAGATTGTTGAGCCAGGGACATTCGATAAGCTCATGGATTACGCAATCAGTTTGGGAGCATCGATTAATCAGTATAAGACGCCGAGATGTGTGAAGTTTGCTCCAATTATCGAGCTATTGAACTCGAGGGTTGTTAATAGTTACTTAAGCCCCAAGTGTCCTAAATGGGTCCCTGGTCACAAACAGTGGGGAAGTAACTAAGATGGAATGTGGAACGCGAAGAGACTCTCTTTGAGCTAGAAGGTTTGGGACTTGGACTTGCAAATGATCATGTCTTCTCTAATCTTAATTTTAGTTTAATCTTTTGTTCTTTTTTTTTGTTATCCTTTTAATATGCATAGTCCCTCTGGATTTGAAAAGCAGTTGTACAAAAGGCAAATCATGTTTTCTCCAACCAACTCTCTGTTTCTCTCCATCACTTTCTCGAGCCTCTAAATCTTTCTATTGTTTAGTGCGTAATTGTTTGGACTTTTATCATTTACAAGCAACGTCAAATTGCAAATTGCTAGGATGATTTTATTAAGAAGAAATTGGTAACAAGTAACAACATTAATGTGACCTTTACTCGTTTTGGGTTCAATTACATGTATGAGCTCAATATACTAGAAAATAAGGGCAATGGACAAAAGAATAACATCTTCATAGTTAAAACTAATTGATTCTTGCTCATCATTAATCGGCAATAGTCAACATTTTGTTGTCACTAACCTAATGATACGACTTTATAATCATGAATATATCAGATAGATCAGACATTTTATGCTTTCCGTGTATTTTTTTTACATAATAAGTGAAATTATATACTCCTAATTTGATAACACAGGCAATTACTTTATTTATTTTTTTTCTCTTACGAGCATGATCAGAAAGAGTTAACGTACGTGATGGAAGACGCATCCACGAAGAAATATTTTCCCATAATTTTCTTCAGATTTTAATATTATCATCTTGAACGTAGTAATAAAGGAAAGAAAAAAAATCAAGTCTAGATACCATTGTTCCCTATGTGAGCATCAAAGACAACAACACTGGCCTGGAATTATTGTTACGTTGACAGACTTTATATTTAAAAATGAATAGTATTTAAAAAAAATGAACGGTGGTTCTCTTTAAATGACACTGAGTCACTGACACACAAACAATTAATCCACAAATTGACATTTCTTTAATGATCAAAATTTTGATATTTTCATCTCCTTTTTTTCTAAAGTTGCATAAGTCATACTCTTTTCTCTTTAAACATCCCTCAAAACTTTATCTTTGCGGTTATTGATCTCTCATTTTCTCCGGAAAAAGATAATAGTACGACTGTCCAAGCATGTTTTATCAATCGGATTGGAGTGCGATTTTTTAATCAAAACTACGTAAATAGTATTTTACTTTTGAAATATAAATCTTAACATTAAAACAAGAAAAAAAAGTTGTTATTATTATAATGGAACACGTACAAATAGTTCATGGTTGAGGAGATAAGACAATGTTCTGAGATAGTGTGGCTCTATTAACACCTTTACAAGAAAAAAGGAAAACGTCTGACATTTTACCGATAGAGACACATGAAACCCAATAATTTTGTACAAGTGCAGTGTATTGTACATATATTACATAATTAATAGTATTTAATATTTTTAGAATTTACCGTTAAATGTTTGCAATAATGATAAACTGTACTTGAGTACTACTGCGCCACTGACGTTAAAGATAAGGTTGTCTTGTCTCATGTCAACCCATTCTTTTTTTTTTTTTTGGTGAATCGTCACAACCCATTTTCATATGTGTGATTGATAATTAGAAACAACGATAGTTGCGTTGGAGAAAGATTCAATTGTAATTTGAAGAATTTTCTGTTCTTTCGCAAATATATCTTAAAATTTTCCTTTTAGTTTCACTATTTTAATATTTTTGAAAGATTCTAAATTTAACATAACATTCCGTTTTTCTACGCAAATTATGAAGAAGAGAGCTCAAAATTTAGTGTAGTCTATAATTTGTTTATCCACATATATTTAAATTCTGATTGTATAAAAAAAAAAAAGTGTAGACGTTGTAACGGACATGCAAATTGTATGCTTAATCAACTCTACTCTTGATCTTTATCAAATTGTATGCTTTTTGATCCCGACATTAAAATTGATATAGGGAAAAAAACAACAATGGACTCGAGGAAAATAAAATTGTAGATAAGAGACCCTAAAACAGAAACAGACAAAACCAACAAACTCGAACAGAACCGACCGGTTCACTGCTACTGTCTGTGGGGACTCAAAGACCGTTTTCTCCGTAACAACCCACTCAGATCTCAACAAATGTCCACAAGCTTGCGTTGACTTGGACCTACCAGAGTTGATGAACAGTTGAACACACGGCCCTTCACGTGATACTGTCTTATATAACATAGCCTATCCCTTTTTACTATTTTCCAAAGTGAAAATGTGTTTCCAAGAAGGATAAAGTTTCTTTTTTCTCTCCTCAAAACCTATTTACAAGCTGTTTTAATGAAGTTAATGTCTAAAAAATTTTGGCCAAGTGAAGGTGCATTCTCATGTATCATTATTTTAAATGAATAGTTGTAATCTTGTAAGAATTAGCTATGATCTCGTGGATAGATTTTGGAAACTTGGCAACTACTACTCAAGAATTGGTTGGTTATGTGTCTTAATTAAGGTGTCTCATTAGCAAAAATCAAGAATCATCGCATAAGCATTTATTTTTCCATGCGAAATTGGAAGCAGTTACTTGGATTATGAATTGCTTGATAAAACAGATCATGAACAATATATATTAGGCCTGGGCATTCGGTTAACCATTCAGTTTCGGTTCGGTTACGTTCGGTTTCGGTTAGTTTGGATATGATAATATAATAACCATTCGGATATTTTAAGAATTTCGGTTCGGTTCGGTTCGGTTACCTTTCGGTTCGGTTCGGTTTGGATATTTAAATAGATAACCGTAACTAACCAAACTTTTATCACGTTCGGTTTGGTTCGGGTTTTTACCCAAATTAACCAAAATTTACCGTAACTAACCGAAACTAACCAAAATTAACCAAAAAAATACAAAAAGAAAATACAAAAAAAGAAAGTATTAGAAAAAAATATTAAAATTTGATTCAATTTTGTAAAAGAGTATTTAACTTTGACAAATATAACAAACAATATTTGAATATTTTGATTATTTAAAGTATTTGATTATTTTGATTATAAAAATAATTAATATTTTGAGTTTATAATTATAGTTTTGGATATTATTTTTGGATATCTTATAGGTTTTTGGATATTTCGGTTAACCGTTTGGTTATCGGTTTGGTTCGGTTCGGTTTTGGTTAGTTTGGATAGGGGATTTTACAAACCATTCGGTTATTTTAAAAACTTCGGTTCGGATATGGTTCGGTTTTTTTCGGTTCGGTTCGGTCGGTTATTTGGTTAGCGGTTTTTTTGCCCAGGCTATATGTTATGTTAGAGACATATTGAATCTTAACATTAAATCAAAAAAGAGAGAGACTCACAAAAATGCCCCTTTTTCAATACCCCTTTTCAAAAATGCCCCATTTGGTTGTTCATTTTTAAAAATACCCCTTTTTATGTACAAAATGACTAAATTACCCTTCTTTCAATAAAAGATATCACAAATATATAAGGTAATATAACAAAATTAGGTCCACAAAATACAAAATATTTTTTGGCGGGAAAAGTGATCCCTCAATTTTTCCCGCCAAAACACTTGTAAAAACTTGTAAAACCTTTAAAATACCTTGTAAAATTTTCCCGTAAAATTTTTTCCCGCCAAAAAATTTTCTCGCCAAAAATTTTTTTTTGCGGGAAAAGTGATTCCGTAATTTTTTTGGCGTTAAATTTTGGCGGGAAAAATTTACAAGGTATTTTAAAGGTTTTTTACAAGGTATTTATAAAGTTTTACAATGTATTTTAAAAGGTTTTACAACGTATTTATAAGGTATTTATAAGATATTATAAGATTTTACAAGCTATTTTATAAGGTTTTACAAGTTATAAGATTTTACAAGTTTTTTATAAGATTTTACAAGTTTTTTACAAGTTATAAATTCCTTATAAAACTTTATAAGTACCTTGTAAAACCTTTTAAAATACATTGTAAAACCTTACAAAACACTTGTAAATACTTCGTAAAACCTTTAAAATACCTTGTAAATTTTTTCCGCCAAAAATTTTCCCGCCAAAAAAATTTTGCCAAAAAAATTGCGGAATCACTTTTCCCGCAAAAAAAATTTTTTTGGCGGGAAAAATTTTTACGGAAAAATTTTACAGGGTATTTTAAAGGTTTTTTACAAGTGTTTTGGCGGAAAAATTGCGGGATCACTTTTCCCGCCAAAAAATAATTTATATTTTGTGGACCTAATTTTGTTTCAAATAAGGGTAAAATGGTCATTAAAAATTAAAAGAGGACAAACTTAAAAATGAACTCTCAAAGGGGGCATTTTTGAAAAGGGGTATTGAAAAAGGGGTATTTTTAACAATTTCTCAATATATATGTTATGTTAGAGACATATTGAATCTTAACATTAAATCAAAAAAGAAAAGAAACATATTGCTCGACTTCTTGAGACTCACAACATTTGGCCATTGGACTCGTGTCCCATAAAATCAACATCTACACTCTCTATTATGTCAAAGTAGCATGTCTTAAGAAAGATAATTTCATCAGAATAGATTTTCTGTTTGCTACTATGTTAATCTTTTATTCGTTCTCCCATTTCTCTAATATCCATCAAGTTTCTATAATGAATAAGGATAATAGAAAATTTTAGATGGCGCAGACAACAATTTCGGTGCAAGTATTTTGGGAGGTTGCAACTGGACATATCGCTCAAAGACATGGACACGTGCGATGAGAGTTGACTTTGACCGGGTCCCTTTCAATATCCCGCACGTGTGGTAGACATAGCTTTGGTCTTCTCTCGGGCTTACATAGTGGGCTGGGTAGACCAGAGATCTTGGCCCATTTTTACTGTTGAAGTAAAACGACAATGTCTGACGACTTCTGCAATTCTATTTTTTCTTCCATCTCCCGCTTTGAATCATTTGTAGAAGACAAACAAGGATTTAGACGTCTTGGGTTTTTTCCCATAAATTATCATTCTTCTGCACTTATTTAACAAATCAATTGATATTTTTCTTTGATAAAATCTCTTATAACGCGTTCACAATAAATACAATAATGTAATGTAGATATGTTCAGTCACATTTATCTACAAGTTTTCTTTTTGTCTTTGTCAACAAGTTTCCAAGGCCAAGTCACATACTCTGCATCTGCATCTGAATTCTCCAATGACCAAAAACCACAGTCTAAAACTTATTGACCTCAACTACAAATTATTCTTTAATGCCGTTTTTTGTGCCTCTTTGAGATAACAAAAATGATATTTATAAGTTTAATGATGAAACAGTAAACATGCTCATGTTAATGATTTTTGTTGCTACATTGGGACATGACATGATAATTATAATATTGTTTATAAAAATAATAAAACTATAATTAAACAACTTCATATATCATGCAGTGTTTAGACATTAGAATATACATGCATACTCGCATAATGCGCTATGCAGTGTTTTTATGTCTTATGCCCATCGTTTTCAAAAAACAATCATACATATCTTCCTTTTCTGTTCTAGTTTTATCGAACCTTTGTTAGTCCACGAACCAGCGACATGAAAATTGTTAACATATTTTAATATGCCTACTTACATGAACTGTGATGATTAAAGAAAAATATTACGTTAACCAGTGGGTTAGTAGTAATTACTATGGTTTTATGACACTATTTCATTAATTAATCAATTCTTTCTAATATATGACCCACATGAGTTTTCTTGAACCAATGAGTTCATTTTTTGTTGACCACAAATCAATGAGTTCAATTGCTTTACGATACTATGGACTTTCCGTTTTGTCCTAACAAAATGATATGTCAATTTAAGGGAATAATTACTTATTTTTCGGGTCTTGCACCCAACATAATGTTGTCACTCTTTCATACAACAATGGAATTATTATGTGAGATTTTATTATTATTCAATTCAGGGATAGTTTATTTTTGATTTGTTTATACCTTTTGTTAGCATTATACTCTCATGGATTTTTTGGATATATTATAATATTTGGCCAAATCAAGTAAACCATCTTTAAGTTTCAATTATTTTGTTTTATATGTCTTGGATTTATTAGACCAAATTATATCATCTAAAGTCGCACTTCAAATCGAGCAAACCAATTTGATCCCTCATGTTCGACTAGTTTAATTTATACAACTATTTTGGTCCCCTCCATTTCTCCTTATCTTATATATATGACCAATCCACAAAATTCACTTTATTTCTATAGTCTCGTAATAATGCAGTAGCTATGATAATCTAATGGAAACTAAAAGCTATGTGAATAAACAACATTAGCTACTATGATTATTTACATGCAATGATAATCAAATGGATATTTCTATCTTTGAAAGAAAAACATTAGACAACATGTGCTGGTCAAAAACAGGCGTTATCAGTGAAAGATATACAATTTATTTTCAATACCTCTGAATTTTTTCCGTGAAATTCTCATAATATAAACTTTTAAACGGATAGTTTAGTTGTTAAGTAGTTAGTTTTGATTTGACCAACAAAAAACAAAGTACAGTTTTGATAAATACTTTCTTCCAGTGGACAATGTACTTGTCATCGAGAACAACCTTAGATATTGAAGTCGCATCCAAGAGATGTCATCGAGTTATTTCTTAGAAGCCGGTCCGATTGAGTCCAGTTTTGGATCTTTCAACTCTCTGATGAATGAATTTATTGGACTGACATTTTCAACTGATGGGCCTTTAGTGGGCCACTTTAAACTACCATAGAAAGAATTTAGTGGGCAACAATGTTTTCACTAAACAGCGTACCAAGTGAGTTTCCCCTTTAAACCAAGTAAAGAAGTGGGACAAGTTACAAACCAAGGCAATGGCGTGTTATTTGCTCATGAGCAGAAGTAACTCATTCAGTGTTAGATAATTCCAAAGCGAAAAAATCACAAAATGCCAATTTGTAGGAATTCACCAACAAGGCATCAAAATATTATCTTTTTGAGAGAGCTCTAAGTAGCAGCAGGTCCCTTGAGCTTCTTACTTATGGCAGCTATGTACTTCCCTTGGTGAAATGCTTGCTCCAGCTCCAGTTCCGTTGGCTGTCTCGACCCATCTCCGGCAAACGTTCCTGCCCCATACGGGCTTCCACCTTTCACATTCTCCATCTCAAACATTCCGGCACCAAATGTGTAACCAATCGGAACAAAGATCATCCCGTGATGAACCAGCTGAGTAATGGCAGTTAATCTACACAGAAATCCGTTTTATCAACAATATAGCAAGTGGTCTCTTTTGACGAATGCTGTTTGTATTGTGAAAAGAAACTTACGCGGTGGTTTCTTGACCACCACCTTGGGACCCTGTGCTGTAGAAGATTCCGGCTGGCTTACCGGCGAGTTGCTGAGTCCTCCAAAGGCCGCCGGTTGCATCCAAGAATGCCTTGAACTGAGCAGCCATCATACCAAACCTTGTTGGGAAGCCGAAGACAAATCCATCAGCCTCAGCAAGCTCATTTGGGGTGATAATAGGAGCATCGCTCTTTGGTGGTGCACTCATTTTAGAGAGCACATCTTCTTGGAGCGTCTCAGGTACCTGTCAAGAACAAACGTTAGCTGGATGCTTCAGTGTACCCAATGATTCTTTACAGGTAAATGTATATAATCAAAGATAAACTAAGGGAAAGCACACTATAGACATTAAAAGTAGAGCTTATGGTAAAATATGCCGCTTAAGATACTTTAATTTTTGTTTTGGTTGAAAACTAGTAGCCACTAGTCAACATAAAGGAGCTCGAGACAGCCAATACTGTCAAGTGTCAAGAATGTTGGCAGCTACAAATGTATAGTAAATCAAAATTTAGAGCATATTTCTCCTTTCTTTCAGAGAATAGAGAGTGAAGCAAACATTTGTCTTAGCGAAATAGACTCTGTGAAGCACACATTGTCCAACGCAGATAAGACAGTAGGATATGTCCAAGCGACAATGCAGGTTAAGAATAATGTACCTCAATGGTTCCAAAAATAATCCTTGCCTAGAGTAAGAAGTAAGTAGTCATCATTAGTCAAATAGTGTTGAATCAAATAGCCCAAGAATGGTGGTAAACTGGCAGCTAAAAGATATTACAGTAAACCAAAAATCTAAAAATGTATTCCCCTATCTTTCAGATACAAGAACAAGTTTTTTTTCACTTGAACACCTACATTTTCTAAGGTTTATAGTCAGCTGAAACTGTCTGTCATTGTAACCTAGGATCAGATGTGATGATGAAAATGGACAATTTTAAATAAACAGGAAGTGACCTGCCAGAGTTTGGCTTCAACACCATCAACAGAAGCAGCACCTTTCCTAATCTCTTGAGCTAATTTCTCCACATGGCCGTACATCGAGTAGTACCTGTTACACTCACCAAATTGTCAAGGCACCACCACTCACTGCATCTCCACATCAAAATCCAAACCCATCATAAAATTAAGGCAAGCAACACAGAGACCCATGATTCTAATTGCAACAATATAAACCCACAGAGAAAATCTTCGAGTCACAATGACACTGCAAGTTTGAGATCAGTGAAAATGAAATCGATCATTTGCATATCAGTGTTCCAACAAAAAAAATTAACCACGAAAAAAACATTACGACAGAAGATGATTGTTCACATACACGATGTAAACTTTGGTCGCCATTGAAGAAGTGCGCTCGATTCTCTCAAAGCTTTTCTGATTTTTTTTCCCAGAAAATCTAGCTCCAAATTGTTATAGCTCTTCGAGAATTTTTAGTCAACGCCCGAAAAACTGATTAAATTATATTTATGCCCCTTAACTTATTTTTTGATCCAATAAACCACTTTACCTGTAAAATCTAGACTGGATAGCTCCTAATTAACATATCTTTATTCATGGAAAGATTAAGCATTAGAATCACATCATTGATAATGCTTAAGAATGATGATGATGATGATAGTGATTTAACAACTTTTTTGGTTTGTGCTTATTTTCTTACCTAAAATTGGTTAACCACAAATGGATACTTGGATAGTTGGATACATTCATCAACCGTCTAAGAGCATGATTAACAAGAGTTGCTTAAAAATGGTTCTTAAGAGTATTAAAATAATAAATTTAAAAATGGTTCTTAGAAATGGATCTTAATGTTAAATTTGGATCTTAGCTAAGCCACTTTAATTTTGGATCTTAGTCTTTAACAAGATTTTTCTTTAATTTTTTAGCTAAGATTTAGCTAAAAAATAGTTAAGACACCACCACCAATGGTGGTCTAAAGGATTATCTAATTTAAACCAAGTTACGCATATTTTTTTCTTTATTTCATATTTGTTCATAACATCCGATCAACATCAATTTTTATATATAAACTAAATTGTATTAAGTATGATTCAAAGAATTATGTGAATGGTAACATTAATGGAAAATAAGAAAAAGGTAACAAATGAATCGAATTAAATCTCCCAAATCTCTCCGGTGTCAATGCCGGCGCGTGAATCCGAACTCCTCCTCAATCGCCTCCGTGACGAGACACCGCGACGCCTCCATCAAATCAGGGCTAAGCCTAAACATCAACACACAAAACTCCATCTGGTTCAACGCACCGTCGCAGTCAAAATCCCCTTCTTTAATCATACACCGGACATCTTCATCAGTCAAATCTCCGAGACCCAGAACCGCCGCTGCGTTACGTCGGAGACTCTCGAAAGTGATGACACCTTTCTCTCTGTCCATCAAGAGCTCGAATCCGTTACAGAGCTCTCCGATCAGACCCTCACCGCCTAGGTTCCCGGCCATCGCAGGAAGGAAATCGTGGAAATTGGGTTGTGGGTTTTGTTGGGATGGTCTTGTAGGTGACTTTGGTGACGCCATTAGAGCCGACGATGTTGTTTAAATAATCTGAAATTGGGTTCTGATTAAGGAAGGTTTGTTTGTTTGTTTGATCGATGTTATTGGTTTGAGGAGTGAATGAGAATATAAAGGAAGAGAAATTGGGATTTCTGAGAAGGAACATCCATGGAAGCCAGCTAAGATAATGAAGGAAGGTCCCCGTTAAATCCCAATTTGTTGTTGTTGGGGTTTCTTCTAGGAAGCTCGCTTTAGGGGTAAAATCGTCAATTCGTAAATGGATATGGAAAGTGCATAGTGTGAAAGCAACGAGGTGGAGGGTAAAATCGTCCGCTGATTTATATTGAGAAATAGAGAAATTAATGGAAATGAATGGAGGAGTTGTTTGTTTGTTTATTTATTTATGGAAATTTCCACCACTTTCCTCGGCAAGTGACTTGAGATTGTTTATCTATCTTTAAGATTAGGTCGGCTCGAGTAGAGAAATTTCTCTGGAATTATTCAAATACTGGTTTTGCCCGATCACACAGTTTTTTTTTTTTAGTATAATTGTAGTTACTTATTCGACTTAGGAGATGGGTACGTTTAATGGTACTTACTAATAATATTTTGGTCAAAAATTCCACGAAATGAGGAATTAGTGTTAGCTCTGTGATAACTTACTTCAAATATATCATCTCAATTAGTTTTGAAATTTTGAATAGCTGTGAAATGCATTCAACTTATCCGTCACGCATTAAGTTTTATAGACTTTCCAGTTTATAGACCTTTTTTTTGGACCATTTAGATCTGATTATTCAGATCGTCAAATACTTAAATCTCATCGTGAATCTTATACTAGTATATAAATTTTTTATGACATGCAAGTTGCAATTCCAAACAAACGAAATATCAATGTTTGACTAACATTTTTACTAGTATAATTTTGTATGTGACGTTTCTATGCATGGTATTTGATTAAATCTTATTCAAAGACATCGTCAGAAAAACTAAATGCAGCGGACAGAATATTCTACTACTTGGTCTGCCCGTTCTCTAATTGCATGCCGCTGCTTTAATCTATGTATAATCCAACCAAATCTTGCTTATCGGATAACCATTGTCATTATTTCATGATTATACATATACTATATATTTAACCGAAAACCGCAGTGCAATAATGCTTCTACATTTAAAAATGAGTCAAGTTCAAAGAACGAACATTGATTGAATCATGATTCCTGACTAGTTAAGTAATTATATCTTACGTCTTACTCTTGCCTCTTAATGGGCTTGTCTTCTTAATGCTGAGTTGCTGACAAACCATTATGCTCTTATGAAAACCTCTCATATATAAATAAAATTTGCTACTGAAATAATAAATCTGTTGAATCATGTTTATGTAATATACAGATAAAATGTATCATAAAATTGACAATAAAATTTTTACAGTCACAAAATTGATAATAACTTTTTTTATTGTCAGAAAATTGATAATAATTCATCATATATTTGAAAGTGTACATTATTAATCCATACGGCTCGTTTTTTGTTTGCTTAGATTACATGGAAGCTTACTAACAGATAACCATGGGCCGGCCCACATGCTGAATCAGCAACACTGTTCGTGGCAGATTATACTGGGTCGGGTCGAGAAAGCCCATCACAACATTTTAGTTCCAAAGGAATCTGTGTCTGTTAAGTGTCAAACAAAAGCTAAGCTGACGATTGTTTGTTTTTAAATATTCTTCATTGAATTGCATTATTTAGTTCCAATTGACAAGTAAATTTGTATCTCCATTGAATCATTCTACCATTTTGTCCTATAATATATAGTAAAACTACAAATATATAATCTCTGGGCACGTTGTGGTTGACATTAAGAGCAAATAATATCACGACGTAAGATACTGGACAGCTACTCATTGCAATTCTCTTCCATGTCTCTTTCATTAACAAATATATATTCCATGGAAACTAACTCAAACAATTTTCTATATTTCTATAGTCGAGGATATTATCTAACATTATTAAATAAATAAAATAACTGTTATCATCATTGTTTATATAGCAACTTCGTTTCCACGCTCTCTGGTTCCACAGAACCGGCCATGGAAGCCACTATTGTGCTTCCTCTGCTTCTCATCTCTCTGTTTTCGACAATTCTTGTGGCACAAGCAACTGATATCCTCGCAGCAAATCAGACTCTAAAAGATGGAGACACCATAGTTTCACAAGGTGGTAGCTTCGAGGTTGGTTTTTTCTCTCCAGGAGGATCAAGAAATCGTTATCTCGGAATTTGGTACAAGAAAATCTCTCTCCAGACAGTTGTTTGGGTCGCTAACAGAGATTCTCCTCTCTACGATCTCTCAGGAACCCTAAAAATATCTGGAAATGGGAGCTTATGCATCTTCAATGGCCAGAACTACCTCATCTGGTCATCATCATCATCACCATCTTCCCAGAAAACCAGCGTAAGAAACCCAATTGTTCAGATTCTTGATACAAGTAACTTAGTTGTGAGAAACTCAGGGGATGATCAAGATTACATATGGCAGAGTTTAGATTACCCAGGAGATATGTTTCTTCCAGGAATGAAATATGGTATCAATTTTGTAACCGGTATAAACCGGTTTTTGACATCTTGGAGATCTCTAGACGATCCATCAACTGGTAACTACACGAATAAAATGGATCCAAACGGTGTCCCGCAGTTTTTCCTGAAGAAAAACTCGGTTGATTACTTCAGGACTGGTCCATGGAACGGGCTAAGATTCACCGGTATGCCTAACCTAAAACCTAACCCTATCTATCGGTATGAGTTTGTCTTCACGGAGGAAGAAGTTTACTATACTTACAAGCTTGAAAACCCTTCAGTGCTCACAAGAATGCAGCTGAATCCGAATGGAGCTTTGCAACGTTACACTTGGGTCGATAGCCTTCAAAGTTGGAACTTCTACTTATCGGCTATGATGGATAGTTGTGATCTCTACAAGTTGTGTGGCTCTTACGGAAGCTGCAACATCAATGAATCTCCGGCTTGTAGGTGTTTAAAAGGTTTTGTTGCTAAATCCCCAGAGGCTTGGGTTGCAGGGGATTGGTCAGAAGGGTGTGTTAGGAGAGTGAAACTGGATTGTGGTAAAGGAGAAGACGACTTTCTGAAGATTCCAAAGTTGAAATTACCAGATACAAGAACATCGTGGTATGATAAGAACATGGATTTGAGTGAATGCAAAAAGGTATGCTTGAGAAACTGTACATGCTCGGCTTATTCACCTTTCGACATTAGAGACGGCGGAAAAGGATGTATTCTTTGGTTCGGAGATTTGATTGATATAAGAGAGTATAATGAAAACGGACAAGATCTGTATGTGAGGCTTGCTTCTTCTGAGATAGGTAAGGTTTAAGACTTGTGAAACAAGAAACATTGTTTTACTAGAGAATGATTTCTTGATTAGTTTTTTTTTTTTTTTTGTTCTGGTTCGATCACAGACAAGTATAATATCCATTACATGAAGGGAAAGATAAGGATGTTGCTCATAATAGTATTATCTACAGCTCTGTTTCTTATTTGCCTTTGCATTGGTTTGACTGTCTTCAACATGAAGAAAAAGAAACTTGCAACAAAAGGTACATGATTGTAGTTGTAGCTCTTTTTTTCTAATGTGCTTGATAAGTTTATTAAACCGTTGATATTTATTCAGAAACTGTGCAGCGCGAATCTCTCCGTGTTTCAAGCAGGAAACAAGAGGAAGAAGATCTTGAATTACCATTTCTTGATCTTGACACAATCTCAGAAGCTACAAGTGGATTCTCTGATGTGAACAAACTTGGACAAGGTGGTTTTGGACCGGTCTATAAGGTAACAAATCACAGCTTCTTGTCTAATTCTCAGATTCTGCGCAAAAACGGTAAAATGTTTTGATTTTTTTACCAGGGAACATTGGCTTGTGGACAAGAAATTGCTGTAAAAAAGCTATCAAGAACGTCGAGACAAGGGATAGAAGAATTCAAGAACGAGATCAAGCTGATTGCTAAGCTTCAACACCGGAATCTTGTGAAGATTCTTGGGTATTGTGTGGAGGAAGATGAACGAATGCTTATCTACGAGTATCAGCCGAATAAAAGCTTGGATTCTTTCATTTTTGATAAAGAACGACGTAGAGAACTTGATTGGCCTAAACGAGTGGAAATAATCAAAGGGATTGCTCGCGGAATGTTGTATCTCCATGAAGATTCAAGGCTTCGAATCATCCACCGTGATCTCAAAGCAAGCAATGTGTTGCTTGATTCTGATATGAATGCGAAAATATCCGATTTTGGATTGGCTAGAACCTTGGGAGGAGATGAAACTGAAGCAAACACGACCAGAGTGGTTGGAACATAGTAAGATTAATTCTGTTTTTTACTTCAATGCAGCAAGTAAAATGTTTTATTTATTCAAAATATTTGTTTACTATCTTTCTGCAGTGGATATATGTCGCCGGAGTATCAAATCGACGGGTATTTCTCATTGAAATCCGATGTATTTAGCTTCGGAGTTTTGGTATTAGAGATAGTGACAGGAAGAAGAAACCGCGGATTTCGTAACGAAGAACACAAGCTTAACCTTCTTGGACATGTAAGTACATTAGCAGCAGCAGCAAAATTAACTCATCATGTTCTTCTAATCTTATCTAATTACGTATAAATTTTCAGGCTTGGAGGCAATTCTTAGAAGATAAGGCATATGAGCTAATCGATGAAGCTGTCAATGAGTCATGTACCGATATCTCTGAAGTGTTAAGAGTGATACACATTGGTCTATTATGTGTACAACAAGATCCGAAAGACAGACCAAACATGTCAGTGGTGGTTTTGATGTTGAGTAGTGACATGTTGCTTCTTGATCCGAGGCAGCCCGGTTTTTTTAACGAAAGAAATCTCTTGTTTTCCGACACTGTATCGATTAATCTCGAGATTCCTTCCAATAATTTACAAACCATGAGTGTAATAGAGCCTAGATAAACCTTGTAATTGATATCTGTATATTCTACAATCTGTAACCTTTTTTTTTGTTTGGTTGTTTTTTCTTGGTGACGCATTACATTTTGCATTACATTAACCAAATAGTTTATATATAATCTTCATTTATCTACCTTCCCTGCAACATTGTGATGGAAACTTCGTTTTGTGAACGTAAGCTTAAAGATGAAGAGATATCTGGAACGTTCCGGTTGGTGAAAAAACCGGGCTTTTTAGGGTGAGGAAGAGAACTATCACTCCCAAACATCAAGACAACAGAAGCCATGGTTGGTCTGTCTTCTGGTTTCTGTTGAACACAAAGTAAAGCCACATGAATACATCTTAGTACCTCTGGGACAACACATGTCTCTTCCAACAACTCTTCCTCTGGTACTTCTATTTCTCTGTCTTCAACCCACATTTTCCACACCTAATATAGAAACAAAGGAGACAACTTTCAAATGGGCATTACATATTGTAAAAAAAACCTAAAATAGTATATAAATGGCATGAATCACTCCATTTACTGCTAATTTATTTTGAGGTGGATATTGATTTCATGAACTTTCACTTAGTATCAGAGTCCAAGTTGACCCGGTGCAGGAATACTTCAGATCCAAAAATGAGATTTGATTCAAGAAAAATGATCTAAAAGGCTGAAACCCGATAACGTACGTGTCCAAGGAGATTAAGATCATGATCTGCGTGGCGAAACCCGCGATTCGTCTTGCCAGTTATGATCTCAAGTACTAATACACCGAAACTGAACACATCGGATTTCACAGAGAAATGTCCATCAATTGCATACTCCGGAGGCATATAACCACTGCAAGTAGTTATGGAAAGCCAAAACATTACAATTTCTATAAACAATACACAAAGATATATAGAGATATAGGGTGGTAAAGTGTCCTTACTAAGTACCGACGACTCTGTTTGTGCTTGACTCACTCTGATCTCCACCAAAAGATTTAGCCAATCCAAAATCTGAAATCTTAGGATTCATATCATTATCTAGTAAAACATTTCCAGCTTTTAGATCTCTATGTATGATCCTCAATCTTGAATCTTGATGAAGATAGAGAAGCCCACGAGCAATTCCATTGATAATGTTCATTCTCTTCTTCCAATCCAATTCTTTACTTCTCCTTTCATCTTTATTTACAATCATTTAATAAAGTTAAGCAATATGGTCATTACCTTAAAATCTACACAAAGATCATGAGATTGAGTTTGTAAAGTAAGAACGTACCGAAGATAAAGAAGTCTAAACTTTTGTTAGGCATATACTCATAGATCAACATACATTCTTCACCTTGAATACAACATCCTAAAAGCCTGACGAGGTTACGATGTTGAAGTTTTGCGATTAGTTTTACTTCGTTCTTGAATTCTTCCACTCCTTGTCCTGAGTTCGCGCATAACCTCTTCACCGCAATCTCTTGTCCATCTTCTAACTTACCCTGCAATAATTTGCAGAGAAATTGATCACAATTCAAGATTTTAATCAGTACTACTATAAAAGCAAAATGTGATGAATACATTATATTCAACCTTATAAACTGGTCCAAACCCTCCTCTTCCTAGGAAGTTTATGTATGAAAAATCATCAGTGGCTATGGAAATCGTTTTTCTGTCAAGAATAGGCAAGTCCAGGTCCTCTTCCCCAATCCCTTTTCTGAAATTTTCACCTGCAAAAAGTAGTAACCACCAAATTTCAATATAAAATACTTGAGAGACAATCTCATAGTTACAAAATAGAATTGATAATTCAAAAAAATCACCGCGATATCTCTTCATTATCTTCTTTCTGCAACATGCAAACACTACAACCAAAACAACTGCAATGGCCACCACTGATCCAACGACCATTCCCACCACTTCTCTTCCTTTAGACTCTATTTTTGCAATACCCATTCTTATGTAAATATCTTGTCCAAAGGTAGAATACTCTCTCATATCAACCAAGTCACCAAACCAAAGCAAACAACCTTTTCCTCCCTCGCGAATATCGGTATTCGCATAAGCCGTGCAAGAGCAGTTACTTGAACACTTGATCTTACAATCCTCAAGTGTCATTTCATTTTTGGCATCATACCAAGACCATGAAGTATCTGGTAGTTTCATACCTTGGAACTTCACAAATGCATCTTTCTTTCCGCAATTGGTTGGAATCTCATGGACACACCCGTATGCTCCTCTTGAAATATTCCACTTTCGACCTGATTTTGGCTTGAATCCTTGTAAACATGAACAAGAAGGTGTGTTTTTGCCATTAATCCCACAAACTGCGTAAGCTCCACATATAGAGTAGTAGTCACACTCATCTTCTGGTGCAGTGTTTGCTAAGATCCATTGGTGTTGATTAGACTGGATAAACCTATGGAGTTTCCCTGTGTTGTTTAAGACCAATCTTGAGACAATTCTGTGTCGAGGAGTCCACGAGTAGTTTACTTCTTGCTCACTCGACGTGAATTTGTAGTCGAATAAGCTATTCTCTCGTCCCATAGCTGGAGCTCCGGTGAAGGATAAGCCGTTCCAAGATCCTAAGCGATAGGAATAACTAGAATCTCCATTCTTCCTCAAGATCAATTGTGGTAAACCTCGAGTATCTAGAGACAACGTGAAATCACCTGGGGATGGATCTTTTAGGGTTTTCCAAGACGATAGAGACCATTCCTTTTGTGTCTTGAAATTCTTTCCAAGCTTCATACCCGCGAGTATTGTATTCATGGGATAATCAAAACTCTGCCACAACACAGCTTCTTCTCCGTCACTAGATATGAGATTCCCTGAACATGATATCTTCAAGAGGGGATTATTTGCTGTTTTAGAAGCTTTTGTTGATGATGATGATGACCACAAGGCTTTGTGTTCACCGTCGAATAGCTGAAGGTCGCCAAGAGAACTCAAGTTTAAGAATCCAGATGTGCCGTAGAGAGGATTGTTTCGGTTAGCCACCCAAACGACTGCAAATGGTTCCTTGTACCACAAGCCAAGAAACCGATGTTGAGGCTGCTCATCTTGGTCAAGACTAAAGAACCCAAGTTGGAAAACCTGGTCTGGAGAACTAAGAGTATCTCCATCCTTAAGGAATTCTCTTGGAGTAATGACACTATAATCCATAGCAACAGAGAAAGATGATGAAATTAAGAACAGAGATAACGAAAACAGAGAATGAGTATTTCTCATCGAATGAAAACCTTTTTCTTTTGTTCCAAATTATCGTAAAAACAAAAACCTTCTCTTTTTAGTTTTGTATACTTTTTACTAAAAAAAGTGAATCATTATAATATACATTATGAAAATCACATACATAAATAATAATTTTTGTCAACTTTGTACAACCCCAACTTGGCATAAGCAACAAGTCAAGATAAATTCAATGCAGATGCCTGTGGCTGTTGAAATTCAATTATAAAACTTTTCTTCAGTATGAAAAAAAAAAAATTATTAGGGTGTTTTGTTTGAACGCCAGCGACAAGATATGATTCATCATTAAGTTTTGATGGCCAATGTTGGAAGCTTCTCAGATTATAAGAGTGTATAAGCCTAGCAAGGACAAAAGTAATAAATAAGTGTGGCTAATCTTCCTTGACTTAGTCCCCATATAAGGGACCGAGTGGTCAGAATCAGATCATTGATAGTTTGATATGTACATTGCGACGATTCAAGTAAAATTCATGCATTGCATTATTGATCTGGTGGATAGATCAAATTTACCAAATCTTATAACGAAAATTATCAACAAGAACATTTTTTATTTTTTATTTTTACAAGAACCTTATTCTCCTCCATACATTCAACAAATGAAGAGCCAGTCGTTGGCGGACCAGTCCTGACGTGGATATGGCTCAGTCAACGCAAATACTAGTCAACTTAGAGACGTGGCTGGCCTGTATCTAATTGTTTAAAGGCCCATATACGGCCCACGCTCTCCATTTTCTTAGTTATGCATTTCGTAGTGGACTGAAACCTTTTCTTGTCTATTTTCTCCAAGTTGATTCCTTAATGATCGAGATGAACCTCTATCGAACAGAAACTTCGTTTCTAGAAACTAAATAAGCCTCCATAAACAACATTTTTTTCTTTTTCTTTTGGCTACTAGTATTCAAAATCTTTAATACTCGCAAGTTTGTTAGTAAAAAGTATTAATATCACTAGCTCGGTGGAGGCGAAAAAACATTAGTTTACAACCATAGCAGTTGAAGCCATGATCCAGAGTTTTGCTATTGATTTTAAGTGTCCGGGTTATTGTCACTTCCGACTATTTTCGAGTGGAGAAATTATTTGGCAAGTAAGAAGTTTTTTTAAAAATATAGGCCATAGGTCTATTATAGTGACCGGATGGCCCAAACTGATATGTACCAATAGAAAATCAATACCTAATTTTGGCACATGAAACGTAACAGATATAAGATCATCGTTCTCTAGCGAGAGAGCTTTGTAATGCTTACACTTCAACGTGGAGACTGTAAGAGATACCAAGAAACGTGAATGCAAAGAAGGAAAAGAAAGAGAAAAAAACGTGGACAAAAAGAGGCCCATGTTAATAATTCATCGGCCTTCTTAGCTCATGCATTGTCTATTTGCTAGTCTTTTTCTCACAATCGTGTCATTATATTTTAAGGGGTTAACGTGTGGTTTTTCTGTATGGAGCATTAGTAGAATTATTGATTGGTTTTATTGGAATATAGAAAATATATATAACATTTATTGATGGGAGGTTATTGAATGTCCATTCGTTCGTTACAACATTTTCTTATTCAAATTTTGATCGATTTTTTAATCAAAGACTGGTATAGCAAAACCATTGGTTATTCCTCTAATTTAAAATGATATAATTAGTCTTCCAAAAAATATATATGTTTAACCAAATGAAGAATAAATATGTCATATATGTACTATAGTGATAGGAGTTCGAATCCAATTTGGATGGGATGACTAGACTATTAGATTGATCAATTTATGTCAATTAAACAAATTTAAAATCGGTTTCATATTCATTAAGCTGTTTTAAAACAACAAACAATCCAGCAGTTTTAATATTAGTGGTTGAATAGTTATGTTAATAAAATCAATGTAAACAGAAAACAAACTCAACTACTTTTTCAATTTTAGGCGTTTGATTATATTTTGAATATATAATTTATAGATAAATTTTTTAAAAAAGTCTTTATACAAAAACTGGCATCAACACTGCATATCCCCAAGGACCCCAACCCCATACATACATGATACATGCCACATCTCTTAGAAGATAAGAACTATGGAGGTGGTGTATTGAACTATTCGGACAATTATATATTTATACACATTTTGTTGAAAATGAACGGTATGAACTATGAACCTCTTTCTTCAAAGTTCTGACTTGTTCCAAAATTCTTATCCACACAAAGGAGAAAAAAAGGGAAAAAAAAATGTCACAATAATGAGCCATAACCACAACCACACCCACTCACCACAAACTTTGTGTTCCCGTGGCTCTAATCATGACATCTCATCTTCCTTTGATTCTTCACACCACCGTCGATCGCCACGTAGGATTTCCCCAACTCAAAGCATGCCACACAAGCACAATCTTTTATGTGGCCAGAGTTTAATCAACATTTGTTTTTCTTACAATGGGTTCGTGAGAGCCACAAATAAATCAACTATACGATTAAATAACCATATCTATAATGAAAAATATTACTCGCCTACTACGTATGTTACTATATAAGAAAGGTTTTTTATTCTCTCCCATACCAATGAATTATTTTGTAATTTAAAAATCATTATTATCTTACCCTCTCACAAAGCCATAATTAGAAGAAACACAGATGTTTTGGATCAGTTTGGGAAGCGAAGCATGGGAGAAGTAAAAAACAAAACAAGTGGTTTATAAAAATAGAGAAAGATAATCGAAGAACGAGCTGTGGGCCCCATTAAACTTGTGTTATGGTCCAGACAAATCCCAGGTGGGCTCACGTGGCTACGAAGCCCATTAAGAACCTGATTCGTCCACGTAGGACGGAACAGAATCTCTCCCTCCTTCTTCCCCGGCTGAGATCTCGCCACGTCATCGACTAAATAAATCTCACCCCCAGAAAAAAAAAATATCTCGAAACTCAACCATGAGTTTGTCGCCACGTAAAAACGGGGTTTGGCTTTGGCCCATACACAATTAATAACTGGTTTTCAAAATCATTTAAACTTTTTTATCCTAATAACGCAGAATTAATATGAGTCTTAAACTTTGATGATTTTAAGTAGAAAATGTGAAACAGTGGGAATAAAACCTTTTTCTTATCCACAAGAAAAATTAAAAATCGAGGATAAAGCTAAAAACAATAAAGAAAACATTACTACTCAAGTAAATAAAATAATTGCAGATATGGAACTGATAATTATCCAAACAAAAATCTCAAATAAAGGTTAAAGTGATAAACCAATCTCTTAAGCAAAAAAGATTTTTAACCAATCTTTAATTGATTAGGATCATTAGATAATATAAGTTATTACTAAAGTTAAATTGAAATGAAATGGATACTAACCACAGAATAAAAAAAGGAAGGTGCTATATAAAATAGAGTCATTGTGAAACCAAAGAAGAGAAATAGATTTTTTAGCAGAACACAGAAAAAGACGAAACTAGCCTCCAAAGAATTGTTGAATCACAGAAAACTCGCCACGAAAAATATCCCAAATCCTGCAACTTGCACTTCCCTCTTCTTCTTCTTCTTCCCTTATCTCTCCAAGAAAGAAACCAAAACCATATAGAGAGAGAGACACACACAAACGAACAACCACAGAATCTTGAAAGAGTTCGATTTGATTAAAATGGGGAAGAAGTGTGATTTATGTAGCGGTGTTGCAAGAATGTATTGCGAGTCAGATCAAGCTAGTTTATGTTGGGACTGCGACGGTAAAGTTCACGGCGCTAATTTCTTGGTCGCTAAGCACACGCGGTGTCTTCTCTGTAGCGCTTGTCAGTCTCTTACGCCGTGGAAAGCCTCGGGACTTCGCCTTGGCCCAACTTTCTCCGTCTGCGATTCATGCGTCGCTCTTAAAAACGCCGGCGGTGGTGGAAACCGTGTTTCATCGGAGAGTCGAGGTCAGGAGGAGGTTAACAGTTTCGAGTCCGAAGAAGATCGGATCAGAGAAGATGATGGCGGTGACGGTGCGGAATCTTACGATGATGATGAGGAGGAAGATGAGGATGAAGAGTACAGTGACGATGAGGATGATGATGATGATGATGATGATGTTGTTGATGATGATGAGGAAGCTGAGAATCAAGTTGTTCCGTGGTCTGCGGCGGCGCAACCACCTCCGGTGATGAGTTCTTCATCTTCTGACTGTGGAAGCGGAGGTTCGGTGACGAAGAGGACGAGGACTAGGGAGAATTCAGATCTTCTCTGCTCCGATGTATGGATCTATCTTTTTTTTCTTTTCTATTTTCTCGGAAAAATTAACAGAGAAAATTTTGGTTTTAATTATCGTTTTTTAATTTTTGTTTAATGCAGGATGAGATCGGAAGCTCTTCTTCAGCTCAAGAGTCGAACTATTCTCGGCCGTTGAAGCGATCGGCGTTTAAATCAACGGTTGTGGTTTAACTTACTCTATCGTATCGTCAGATTGAAACGGCGCCGATACATCGTCTTCTCTGATCTTTGCGATCTCCAAAACAAGGAGAGATCTCAGCCGTTGATTCCTCTTTTTTTTTTTCCTTTTAAGTAAATCAGCACCGTTTATTTTCTGACAGTTGATGAGGTAGTTCTTTCTTTCTTTCTTGATCCTTTGTCGTACAAAATCGATTTTAAACTTTTTTATTTGACATATCAATATCATTATTATGTTGATCTTTTTTTGTTAATCTAAGTAAATTAATTTGGATTCGTAAGTTTATGACTTTATATGTTATATGATTGTATTCTATGGATCAAAGGATTGGGGAATAGATTGGTGGCAGATGGACACATGGTATACACATACCGTAAAAATAAAGTATATGATTGTGGTTTGCTTTCTAATTTCGACCACTCAATTGTGGGGACTACAAAAATGAAAATAAATTTCGAGAGATTCTTTATAAGAGAATGGGTCCTTGAAGTTACTTACATTCATTCGCCAAGAACATTGAACCTGTCATATCTGCCGCGTCTGTGAACTTTTTTTGATGGTCCATAAGAATAATGACATCATCAATGTTTTTACCTTAACCTTATCTCACCGTGTTCTTCATTCACATGACATGATCACATCTTTGTACACAAAAGTTCTTTGGATTTTAATTTAATAATATTACTCCTTTTTTTGGGTGATATATACATTAGAAACGTTTTTACCTTTTTTTTACAAATTTAAATTCTCTTGTTAGCGAAAGACTGGTGTTGTGGGGGTTGGAGTGTTGGACAGTTGGGTCTATCTCGAATTATTAAATTTCTAGTATAAAACATGTGGTTCTCAAGATAATAAGTTAACAAAAAATATATATTATTGTTTTAACGTAAATTCCTATATTATTTCAATATTATAAATTTTATTTGTATTCTTAGGCAAAAACGCATATGCGTTTTCTAATGCGATTATGCAAATTTTCTTGATTGGTACATTTTTAGCATAATCGTATTTGAAAACGCCATTTCGCCGTTGTGCGTGTTACCAATCGAAACCAATATCTATTAGGAAATTCGGTGGGTTCACAATCAAAGCAGGACTACCGTCAAAAACTTCAACCATTAGTCCATAGTTCCAATTCCAAAAGTCAAACCAAAACATAACGGATCAGTCTTTATCCCGTACGTTGAGTTTGACAATTAGATTAAATTAAACTAATGATGATACGGCTAAGATTGCTGCTTCTGATCATCATGAACACATGAAAGGTCAGGATCGTTCATTTTCTTTCTCTTGTGGTTTTCGTATTCTCTTGCACCGTTGACTTGTTGATGTATATGTTAGCTTAGTGTAACAGAGAGATATCCATAGATGGGCACTTGAAACCTTAGATTTTTTCCAAGGCTTCGTTTCCACAAGTTAGAGTATTGTGATGTTTAATTCTGTTCAACTATTGATTTTTCTTGTTAAACTCTGTTTCAGCTTGTACTTATCCAACTTTCTGCTTTAGTATCGAAAAGTAACAATGATATTTTATTCTGTGATTCGTTTAGATTCCATTTTTTCTGGATGTTTTATGATTGTTTTCTATCTTTTCTCTGGCTTGGAGTAATAGTAAGCAAAGTATTACAATTCTTGACTTGATAAAGAAGTAAAGAAATGAATCCCTGAGCTCCCTCCCTGGCTTCACTCCTTTATTAAACTTTAGTGAAAACATGCATCTGGTGGAATGTTGTAAATTCTGTTGCCTGTAATATGAATGTTAATAAGTATCTTCTTACTTTTAGTTGCTGATATCAAAGAGTCCATGAAAACTTGTCCAGGGGAAAAATTAACTAGAGTGATATAGAAATCAAAATCAATCCCCTTTGCTTAATCTAGTTAGTGTTTTGGGAAGACAGTCTTTTTCACTGGTTTATTCACTACATTTAGACATATATGATAACTGTGTTTATGGTGATACGTACAGAATAGCTATGAATTGTTAAAGCCTAGGTTTGCAAAAGAAAATGTAGATATGGTCTTTGCTTGTTTGATTCAATGAATCCTCTTGTGTGGCCTTGTGAATCTAGTTTGAACTCTTACAAGTTTACACGAAATTTGACATCAAGCTAATTAAACTACTTCATCAGTCACAAGTTGTGTGCATATGATTTGATTATCCAAAGCGAATGACAAGTGATCCTCTTCCTTTTACAGATGAGTAATGCGCCTTAGTATCTCATTGGATTCACCCTCTTCACAGCCAGGTAAAATATAAACAACCTATTCAACTTTGAGTGGTCTCCACCGATCATTCTTTTGGTTTACCTTAATCTTTTGAAATCCGTAGGTATGACGATGGATGAAACAAAGCGGATTTGTGCAGAGGAGTGTGTTTGTGCTATCTTTTGCAATCATGAAAAGTCTCTGGAATCTCCTCTGGATTATTAATTCTCAGTCCTTCTTCTTATAATTCTCCATGTATGATTTTCACATTTAAACAATGAAGGAGTTGGTATTAACACTAAAAACCCTTTTGGGATTATGATCTTAATCTTCAATCTAATTTGATATCCGATGAGATACTAGAAGATGGAATCTTGTTTTGCTTTTTAACATTTACAACAAATCTGGCCAAAGTATTCGTAGTACTGATCTGTCCCGGAGAATACGCAAGATACATAAAACTACTCTTGGAATATACAATCTAAACCACTTAAGTATACAAAAGTCATGGGCCAGTAAAACTCAGCCCAACCCAGAATTCAAAAGAAGTGTACAAATAAAAAAGTCTAGGGTTACTCTATTAGTCTATTACCACAACACTCTTTCTCACTTTCTCACGGAATCCTCTAGCATCGCCAATGGGCAAGAAGCGAAAGAAATCGAAATCCTCTTATTCTAGTACTTGTTCTTTTCTCATCTTGAGCTTTTGTTTCCTCTGTTAATGACTTGGCTTTTGTTTTGTTTCGGATTTTCAGGAAATTGGTGATGCTGACATGCTTGCCCTTGAAAAACAGAAGGCCAAATCTCTGGTTAGACCTTATTCTTGCATGCCTTGTGTATTTCTCTACTTAATTGTTTATGCCTTGTGTATTTCTCTACTTACTTGATACTTATCCTATTAAATGGCATCGACTCTATTTATGACTTTTTGTTGTGATATGTTTCATTCTTTGACACTAATCATGTTTGATTATTGCAGAAAAATGATGAAAATGAAATAATTTTCTCGAAAATGTAAGTATCTACAGTTTTTTTGTTTTTGTTTTTACATTAGTGCCATTTAAGATGGGTGACTCTCGCCCAAGTAATTAGCTTGATTTGTTGTTACCAGTTTTCTTATCAATTACTTTTAATCCAATGGCAGGATATAAAAAAAAAAAATGACAAAATCTATCAAAGAGCTGTCTGAAGCTATGGAAAACCTAGTACTGACAAAAACCGATCTATTTGAGGTTTCATTGAAGGTATTGACTCTTTTTTTTTGTTTATTTTCTAGGTGTGAGAAATGATATACTTTACACTTTATATATTGGCTGGCGTTAGAACTAAATGGAAGATACATGGGAGAAAGGTTAAATCTGAACTAAGTCAAGTTAGAATAGTAAAGAAGTGGGTGTGATTGAAATTCTACTTTGTGTAAATTATAATAAATAAGGAAGCAATTCGAAATAAGGAAGCAATTCGAAATAATTTATAATTAAGGAATTAGAAATCCAAACAAAAATCATTTGTTATTCAATCATTGAATTTAAAATCATAATTAAAATCATGTGTTATTGGTTTTATGATTTATAAATACTAATTAAAATCCTATGTTATTCGTTTAGTCATTTGTTTTTGGATTTGAGAATCCAAATTATGTTTTAAATGGATTTGAATGGAATTGAAAGAGAAAAATAGAAGGATTCAAATCCATGGGTAAACACATGTTATTTCAAAATTCATATATCTTGATTTCATAATTAATAGAGATTTTCAAATCCTATATAGATTTACAAATTAATAAACCAATAACACGTCCTAAATTGTTTCAGTTTTAGTTTTATACTTAAAAAAAAACGAATTGATTGTTTCAGTGTTAATAATGTGTTTGCTTGTTTTTCTCAGCAAACAGTCTACTCGAAATGGTCATTGTCCTCACACATAAAATCTTGGAAGGTGAACAGAAATCTTGTACTTCCCCGTCAGTGTATAGGTATTTTAAGATACATGGGATTTGGGTTTGGTTGGAGATTCTTGTAAAAGTTTTCCAGTGAGGATGATATAAATATTTTTGCCCATGTTTTGCTGTTTTACAGATAATTGTTGGGCTGTGTCTTTGTATAGACAGTGGCACATATTGAGACAATTAAAAGGATTGTCAACATCGAAGTTAACTGTTGATAAAATCGTGGAAGGAGTTCCGCTCCGTTATCGAAATAGTGAAGGCGGATTAAAAGCCAATTGTTTACATCATGCCATCGACTTTCTGAAAAATGGAGGATATGTGGATGAAGTATTTATTCATAAGCCCCACGGAGATTCTGAAGAGAAGAATTTCGAGAAACATCTTGAGAGTCTATTGTTAGATGGACCATTGTCAGTGATTATTGATAGTTATCCAAGTTACTCCAAGGTCCAGGGAAATGTAAGTTACTAACTAATTATGTTTATCGAATTTGGTTAACATTTTTAAATTTTTTTTTTTTTTTAATGTAATAACTTATTTTAAATGTTTTTCAGGGATTTTTGTCTCCAACACCGGCTGAACTTGAGAGAGAACTCTACGAGATATTTCCTTGCCATATGCTGCCATTGCTGGGTCATGGTGTTATCATAGAAGAGGTTGATGAACCTGAAGAGTATTGGGATCTTTATGAATCCCAGGGGAAATATTGGGGAACGGATGGATTTGTTCGAATGGCTCGGCATCACTCCCTAATCAAAGAAGCTATCGAAATGAAGGTATTTAAATACATATTTATATATATATATATATATATATATATATATATTTCTTCATAGATTATTAGATTTATATCTAATATTCTTTTTGTGTTATAGGTCGTCAATTGTGAAGAGTGAATATATTAAACCTGGAATGACTGGCAAGCACTCGTACTAATTGTGGAATATATTTTGCTGGCTTACCTGAAATTTTGATTAGATATTTCCACTCAATTTAGTACCTTTAGATTATTGCTTAATCGTTTAATTTTCGAAAAAGTGTCTTCTTACTTTTAGTTGCTGAAATCCAAGACTCCATGAAAAGCTGACCAGGGAAAAATTAAAGTAACGTGATACAGAAATTAGAAATCAATTCTCTTTGCTTAATCTAGTTTGTGAATTGGGAAGACAGTCTTTGCTTAATCTAATAACCAGACAGACAAGGTAAACATTTTGATATATCTTGCTTATAACAGATATCACCCCCTGCTTGATATCTGTTACCATTAAACTATACTACTTTTTATTTCATTTTTGGAACACTGAGATTAACAAAATAACTTACCCAAATGTTTAATATGAGACACAAGACCAAATATGTAAAATAGGGGATTTAGTCAATGTTATACAAGTTGCCAATCAACAAATCATTAGGACTTTTTATGTATTGCATTTATCTTAAAATCTATCAAAATTTCCAAAGCTTTCAAAAATTGAATTGAAAATCACATTGCTATCAAATTAATAATTAATAAAGGTAATGTAAAATATGATATTATTTAATTCATATAAGTTTTAAAGATTTCCGATCGTGTAAGATTCCTCTTGACAAGATTTCAACAAATCTTTTTAAAAAGATAGCTAGGTTAGCATTTGATGCTCGTAGACAAAATCACATTCTCAATCACTTTCTTGCGGCTTCTCTACGATCGCTAGGCCTAGTCTCATCTCTTTAGGAATCTTCCTTATGCTGTTTGACATAAGAATGATGTCTCCTGTCTTTACTATTCTAACTTGACTTAGTTCAGATTTAACAAAACAAATTACTTCTTCCTTTACTTCTTCGTTGACTTCACCTCCTCATCAATCTTCATCACAATCTTATGATTCTTGTCAGATGGATATCAACCGGTGTTTTACCAAACGTCTTGGGATGTAGTTGGCGAGTCTGTAGTGAAGTTTGTATTGGAGTTCTTTGAGTCTGGACTTCTTCCACAAGCTACGAACAATGCTCTAGTGGTGCTCATACCAAAGATAGCAAAACCGGAAAGAATAACTCAATTCCGACCGATTAGCTTGTGTAATGTGCTGTTCAAGACCATGGTGGAACGTTTGAAAATAGTGATCTCCAAGCTAATAGGTCCTGCACAAGCTAGCTTTATTCCAGGCCGTTTGAGTACGGACAATATTGTGGTGGTGCAAGAAGCAGTACATTCAATGCGGAGGAAGAAGGGCAAGAAGGGTTGGATGTTGCTAAAGCTGGATCTAGAAAAGGCTTATGATAGGATAAGGTGGGACTTCTTGAAGATACCTTGGTTGCTGCCGGATTATCAGAGACTTGGATCAGGTGGATAATGGCGTGTGTTTCTGGTTTGTCGATGAATCTGCTATGGAATGGTGAGAAAACAGAGGCATTCACGCCAGCAAGAGGGCTCTGTCAGGGAGACCCAATTTCGCCATATTTGTTTGTTCTGTGTATGGAGAGATTATGCCATCTTGTTGACAGGGCTGTTGCGGAAAAGCGGTGGAAGCCAATCAGTATTTCAAGGGGTGGACCGAGTTTATCACATATATGTTTTGCTGATGACTTGATATTGTTTGCTGAAGCATCAGTTGAACAAGTTCAGGTACTTAGAGGCGTTTTGGAGAAATTTTGTGTGGCATCAGGGCAAAAAGTGAGCCTAGAAAAGTCAAAGATCTTTTTTTCAAAGAATGTTTCTCGGGATTTGGGAAAACAGATTAGTGATGCGAGTGGAATTAAATCAACGACAGAACTCGGGAAATATTTGGGAATGCCGATTTTACAGAAAAGAATGAATAAGGAGACGTTTGGTGAGGTCTTAGCAAGAGTTTCGTCTCGGTTAGCGGGCTGGAAAAGTCATGTTCTTAGCTTCGCTGGGCGCTTAACGCTTACAAAGGCTGTCTTGTCTTCTATTCCTGTTCACTCGATGAGTATGATAATATTGCCACAATCTACTCTTGCAAGTTTGGATAAAATGTCGCGCTCTTTCCTTTGGGGCAGTACTGCGGAAAGAAAGAAACTTCATTTAGTAGCATGGAAGAAAGTCCGTTCTTCAAAATGGGAGGGAGGTATCGGGATTAGAGAGGCAGCAAGTATGAATAAGGCTTTGATTGCAAAAGTAGGGTGGAGGCTAATTCATGACAAGACAAGCCTTTGGGCGCGTGTGTTACGGAGTAAATACAAGGTAGGGGACCTACATGAGCTCAGGATCGGGTCAGTTGGGGAGAGAGCCTTGATGGTCAATTTTCTGTGAAGTCTGCTTATGCTTTATTAAAACGGGATAATGTTCCAAGACAGAATATGGAGAAGTTGTTTAGTAGAGTTTGGAAGGTACAAGTCCCAGAACGGGTTAGATCATTCATGTGGCTGGTCGGGAATCAATCAATAATGACAAATGTGGAGAGATTTCGGAGACATTTGTGTGACTCGGATGTTTGTCAGGTTTGTAAAGGGGGCGTGGAATCTACTTTACATATTCTCCGTGATTATCCGGCTATGGAAGGAATTTGGAGAAGGTTGGTACCGGTACAGAAGCGGCAGGCGTTCTTCTCTAGAATGTTATTAGAATGGTTGTATGAGAACTTGTCAGACGTAGGTATGCTTGGTGAGGTTCCATGGGCTACAATATTTGCACTAGCGGCATGGTGGGGGTGGAAATGGAGATGTGGGAATGTATTCGGAGAGAATAAGAAGTGCCGCGATAGGGTTCGCTTTATCAAGGATCTAGCTAATGAGGTGATAACGGCTAATGTTATGAATGAGGCTGCGGGTATTAAGAGATGCCGAGTGGAGAAGTTAGTAGGCTGGCAATTTCCGAATATGGGTTGGATGAAGGTGAATACGGATGGAGCTTCCCATGGTAACCCTGGTGTTGCCACGGTTGGAGGGGTTATAAGGGATGGAGATGGGAGTTGGTGTGGGGGCTTTGCAGTTAACATAGGCCGCTGCTCGGCTCCATTGGCAGAACTATGGGGGGTGTACTACGGGCTGTTTATAGCCTAGGAGAAGCAAGTGCCGTGTGTGGAGGTGGAGGTGGCTTCAGAGCTGGTGGTCGGATTTCTGAGGACAGGGATAAAGGACTCGCATCCTTTGTCCTTCCTGGTACGCTTGTGCCATGGCTTTATTGGAAAGGACTGGTTAGTCCGTATTTCACATGTGTATAGGGAGGCCAATCGTCTAGCCGACGGATTGGCAAACTATGCTTTCTCGCTGCCATTAGGCTTTCATTTTTTTGATTCTGTTCCAGCTAGTCTGGATTCGATTTATCGGGACGATGCTCTTGGAATCATGTTTCCAAGACAAGTTCCTATGTAATTGCGTTTTACGTTCTTAATAATATCTGGGAGACAGATCTCCCAGTTCATTACCAAAAAAAAAAATCTTATGATTCTTGTCTTTTTTCCTTATGTAGGAACAATCAAAGATTCAACTCTCAACAAACACGTCTAAACCATTCACCAATCGCCAAAATTAGCATTCATCTAAACGCTAAGTTGCCATCTAACAAATGCCTAAACTTGTTGGACTAGGCATCCATCTTGACGTTGAGTTGCCATGAAACATTACCTTCAATCTTTCACAAGAGACCAGTGAATTACATAATTTTTTAAATAAATAATATTTTCAACGAACCGCTGATCCTCCCCCTTTCCTAACCACAATTTCCATCCTCCACAGTGAATAAAAATTGATTTACGAGACACTTTTTCATTACCTACTTTTTCAATAACACAATAACAGTTTCCATGATCATTATTAGATAAAGTTGATAAACATATTATAAAAAGTAGTTTTTATGCAGAAATATATAATCTGTTTTAAGAATCGCCAGTCAATACTAAAATAAAAATAAAGTTAATTAGGAAACAAAAATAAAATAAGTTTGATGTAAGAATATTTTATTCTATGTGGCCTATGTGTCTTTTGGTTTAATTATAAAGTTCAAGTTTATATTAAAGTTAAAAATTCTAATATTAAAGACGATACCGTGATGGATCGGTTTCGATTAAAGAATTAGAATTCGGGTGTATTGATAACCCTCTTCCCTTGCCTTAATTATATTTTATAAGTAATATATATACATGTATATGTTATGTTCATGCATTATTAAAGTGGTGGTTATTACGAACCAATACAACCTTTGGTAGATGCTATATACATGTATATATATGTGTGGTGTTAAACACGTCAAATGTTACGTTTTTGTTCTCCTCACGAGAGAAACAGAAACAGAACAATAACTAGACACAAAAACATCAAAAGGGTTAGTGATCTTGTCCATCAAAGATCACGTGAAAGGAACAAGGTCAAAGGGGAGAAGAAATCAACTGGTGAATTGATTCCATTACAAGCCTAATTAAGCAATGGATCAAGGTTAGTCTTTCTTCTTCTACAAGAAAGTGTGTGGTTGAATTAAATTGAATCTAGATGATCTTGGGAATTAGATTTCATGGTAGAAATCATAAAAGTTT